TCTGGGAGCAGCAGCGGCTTTAGGAGACCTTATTTAAGCTCTCTCTATAGTTTAGTCCTTCTGTAGATGTCGCAGTTCTGCATAAACTTTTGTATGTCCAAGCTTATGTTAGGCTAAAATACGTTCTAGGCAAGAATTAAGTACGTGTTTTCCTGTCTAGGATAGCCTGCAATAGGGTTGTTATAGGTTTTAGCAATTATCTGTGTTCGTAAGGGTTCTAAGGCGGGAACCCATTTCCTCTCCCTGTAATAGATGAACCTATCGTCCCCTACTAAGCATTTAGAAAGCTGTATCTTTAGGTTTAGCTACAGAGGGAACTTCCGTTCCTAATTGCGTAGGGCCTCTAGCGCAGTCTAGTATACTAGATTGGCCCTAGAGGCTTCTATCTATAAGGAACTGTTTGTAGCTTCTAGGGGTGTAGCAGAGGCCGTTTAAACTTAGACCTAGCAAGCCTATAGGCTAATGTCTCTACTGTCTTTAGTGTTCTGTCAGTTCGAAACGGGTTTCAACAGCTAGAAATACTTCCTAGGGCCCCTACTATCTTCTAGTTCTAGTTCGTCTTAGTCCTAGCGAGACAACGCGTTAGCTCTAGTATTTAACTTCCCTAGGCAGTACACAAAGGTTATATTGTGCTTAGCAAGTTCCTCTGCCTAGCGTACGTAACGTTCTGTAAGGATCTAGCCTGTTATAAAATACAACAGGTTTTTGTAATCTGTATACATAGAAAATGCTTAGAGCTACTTTAAATCGTTCTACTATTCTTTTAAGCACTTAATAACCGCGAGGAGCTCCTTATTGTGTATCGTGTAGTTACATTCTGCAGGGGAGTTCTTAGCAGAGAAGTATACTACAGTTCTTAAAGTGCTGTCCTTATAGAGCTGTAATAACGTAGCTCCTGTGCTGTAGCCAGAGGCGTCCAATTCTATAATTGTTTCTAGTTCCAGATCAAAGTTAGCTAGTAAGAGGTCCTTGATAAACTCTTCCTTAAGGCGTTAGAAAGCCTTTTCTTGTACATCTCTCTATTAGAAGGACGCGCCCTTTCCTGTCAGTTCCGTAAGGGGTTTAACAATGCCTAAGAACTCTAAAATGAACTATTAATAGAAGTTCGCGAACCTAACAAAGCTCTAGATGCCTTTCACAGAGGTTAGAGTCTCCTATTTCCTAATGGCGACAACTTTAGCAGGATCTATCGAGATTCCTTTTCCTGCCTCCACTATGAATCCTAAATACTTAGTTAATTTTACTAAAAACTTGCATTTCTTAATATCAATTTAGAGGTCCGCGGCGCTAAGCTTCTAGACTACTTCGCGTACCTTCTGTTCGTAGTCTTCCTTTAATCTATCTAAGTAGATTAGGACGTTGTCTATATATGCGGAAGCATAGTTATCTATTACGTCCCTAAGAACGTAGTTAATAAAGCGTTAGAACGTACTTAGAGCGTTAGCTAAACTAAAGGGGGTAACTAGCCACTTATATAGGCTAAACCTTGTTTAGAATGCAGTCTTCTATTCGTCTCCTTCTGCAATCCTAATGCGGTAGAAAGCTTGTATAACGTTAAGCTTAGTAAACTATTTAGATTTTGCTATGTTCTAGAGGGTCTCTTGTATAAGTAGAAGGGGGTACTAGTCCTTCTGTGTAAGGGCGTTAAGTGCTCTATAATCTACACAGAACTAGAGTCCCCCTCTAGGCTTCTTAGCAAAGAGCACTAGGGCTAAGGCGCTAGAGTTACTAACTTAAATAAACCTACGTTCTAGGTAGAAGTTTAGTTCTTTCTAGAGTACTAGTAGCTCGTCTTTCGACATACTATAGAGGGGTCCCCATAGAGCAGCTACTTCCTTACTGTCCTTCTTCTTAAGTTTAATTTTGTAGTCTATATCAACACCTTAGTAGGGCGCTAGGATGTTAGATTTCCTTTAGAGGAAGCTATTGTAAAGGTCTTTTAGGTGTTCCGGCAAGGCACCCTAGACTTCTTCTAGACTCTCAGGGGGTTTTGTCTTAAGAGCTTTTTTAATGTCTCTAGGGGATAAGGCGTAAGCCCTAGTTCCTTTCTAGAGGATTGCCTTGTTTACCTCTTTTAGGGAAGCAGAGAAGATCTAGATATTGCTGTCCTTCTGTGACCTTTTAATCTAGGCAGAGAACGCAGTAGCTCCAATCTAGGTAGCGACTTGTTTCTTTTTATATCAGATCCGGATCCTCGTGTTTCTAATGTAAACGGACTTCTTCGCTAGTGCTAAGCTTACTTAGTTCTTAATATACTAGGAGTTCCCTAGGACGAGGTTCTATTCGTCGTCCCTAGGTACTTTATAAGCCTAAACTTCTTCCTAGTGTCCTTCTATATCTAGGAACATATAGACTCTCTAGTCCACGTACGTCTCTTTTCTGCCTACCCCTATAATAGGCATTAGCGTGTTCATTCGTTCGCGCGTTAATTTAGTCTTCTTCTAGAAGCCTTTACTTACGAGAGCTACTATTAAGCAGCCTGTATCCAGGAGCGTTTTCGCAATAAACTTATTGTTTACAAACAAGTAGATTGTTATTAACTCCCTATCAGGCTAGTGTCTATAAAACTCTTCAAATCCTACACCTAGGACCTATCCTCGTCCCTTCTAGACTAACTAACATTTGTACCCCTAGCAGCGCCTTTAGCTAGAGGTCTTTAGTTTTCCGAATCTAAAGCACCTTCTAATTTAGAGGTAGCTAGATCAGTGCCAGGAACAGCAGCTTTAGCCTGCACTAGTTTCTAGGCGGGTTCTAGAGAGCACTTTTTAACCTTATACCCTAACTTCTTACATTGTAGGCAGAGATTCGCCTTCCAGCGCCTATCCCGTTCCTCTAACAATACCTATTCTGCACGTTTCTTCCTAGAGGAGCTTAGGTTGCCTTGTCAACTAGCAAACCTAGGTAGATTAATGTCCATAGGGTCTCTGCCAGAGTTCCCTGCTCAGCAGGAGTTACTTCTATAGGAGCTAGGACGATAGCTGCGGCTAGCTCCCTAAGTACAATCTAGCTTTTCTTAGATCCTAACAACGTAGGCTATTAACTCCTAGATCGTGTATTCTTCTAGTAGCTCCACGTTAATTAACAGTTTGTAAAGGTTATCCTAGATTACTTCTAAGTACCTTTCCTTTAACAGGGAATGATTTTTGTATTCTCCTAAGTTGTTCGCGTAAGTAAGGAACTTAGCGTTAAAGTTATTAAGCAAGGAACCCCCTTGGCGTGTTTAGAGAAGATTTTTATAGGCGCGTAGGCCCGCTTCCTAGTCTAGGAAATTAAGGTCAAGGTAGCTCTACAGATCTTCCACAGAGCTACCCTTGTTCTAGTTTACCTATAACATAGTAATAGTAGAGGCGTTGCTAGTTAGACAATTAAAAATGTATCTAGGCAGGTGTCTAAGAGCTAGGCCGTCTTGCTCTAGTTTATACTCTATGTTCTACTTCTATCAGCAGTATTCCTTGCAGTTCCTAGAATAGAGTTCTAGGTTAGGTACCTTAATTTGTCTAACTAGAATTGTAACAGGTTCTCCTAGTAGAACCGTAGTAGGTACATTAGGTAGAGTTACTGTAGGACTAGCAAGTAGAGCGCTTAGCGCAGCTTAGAGCGCTTCCTACACCTATACCCTTACGAATGCTTCTAACTAGGCCTCTGTAAAACTAACGTTGTTATAGAAAGCTAGGGTAGGCTAACGGGATAGATAGTTAGGGGTCTCTAGTATGCCCACGTTAACGTTTAGCTGTTCTAGAGGTCTTAAAGTATTCTAATTTACCTATTGTCTGACTGTTTCTCTTGCTGCTTCTTCCTAGGTACCTAAACTAATAAGGTCCTAGACAAGCTGTTCCTAGATCTCCTAGTTGTTCTGACCTTGCTATCGTAGCACTTGCGTGCGTGCTAAAAAGTCTATTATTTAGAGACGTTCCTAGCAGTATGCCTCTAGTAATTTCTCCTAGGTTCCGGCGAGTCTAGGACAAGACCAGAGGTCAAAGAGATTAAATTCAAATGTAAGGGAACTGACCCTGAGAGTAGATGTTATTTCAAAGATAAGATAAATTTAATAGAGTCTACAGGAAGTGCTATAGAGGGTTTATATACTAGTCCTAGGCTAGTTCTAGGTAGGTTCCTTAGCAGGCTTCTTTGGCAGACTTCGGCAGACTTCCTTAGCAGGCTCTAAGGGCTGTGCCTGAGGGTCACGGGGTCTATCCTCTTACATATATTAAGCTATATCTCTTAGTGTATTAGATAATTAATCTATACTTACGTAGCTACTTTTAGCCTTTTTCTATCTTATATTCTCTATAAGTTATAAGTTTAGAGCTATTAGACTTTAGATAAATATTAATTATACTATAATTATTAAAACTTAGATAGAATAATTATAATACTAATCTATTAAGTTGTATATTAGATAAGATAAGATAATTTTAGCTCTTATTAGTCTCTACTAAGAGACCTTCTTAAGCTTACCTAGTCTATACTAACTAACGTACTATAGCTAGTAACGTTTTTATAGTACATTTATCTTATAACTTTATATTAAAAACGCGTATAAAAAATATAATTTATATATAAATTAAGAGCTAAAATTATAATTACTAGTATTTATTAATATAGAGCTCCTACGCCTAGCTATCTAATTAGCTATAGGTAGGTAGCCTATAGAAAGGCGATATTAGCTATACAAGGGGATACTTTGTAATAATAAGTACTTTAGCAATAATATATTATCTAAATATATCTAGAATTTATTACTAATACTGTATAGTCTCGTATAAATAACTAAAGCTAGTCCTAAGCAGTGCTAGCTCGATTATATCGTAGCTATCTAATTAGCTAGCTTACTAAAGGGTTTCTACACGATAGAACAGGATACCCTACATATCTAAGAATCTAGCTATCTAATAGGCTACGTAGGGATTATTCTTTTAGGACTAGCCTTAGTCATTTGTACGAGACTATGCGGTAAAAAAATTAGCATGTAAAATAAGATAGCAAAGCAAAAAAGAAACCGACAGCGGCAGGATTCGAACCTGCGCGGCCGAAGCCATATGATTACGTAAAGACGTTCGAGTCATACCCATTAACCACTCTGGCACGCTGTCTTACTGATGTAAAATTTAGAAAAAGAAAAGAATATATCGTAACTTAGGGGTTATGGCAGTTGGAGTGCTGGGAGCCATCTTGAAGTGGGGAACGGGCACCTTGCAACACCGGGACCTGTTTCCGCGCCTCGGTTTATTCTACTAGTCATGTGGGACTCTATAAGCTATTACATCATTCTAAAATCAGTCTGTAGTCTTTGCATGAGTCCTCTAAGCTACATGATAATTAAGAGCTGTACAAATAAGATCTAGACTATAGCTCCTGCCGGGTGTTCCTAAATAACACACACTACCGAAAATGCAAGAAATACCCAATTCGACCACATCTTCAATCCACCATCCTTAAAGGACTCTCCCTTTACCGATCGGTTAACGCGTACCAAGACATCTTCCAGGGGGCCATGTGATGTGTTAGAGATGGGCAATGTCTGACAACGCGTTAGAAGCAGATTATCTTTTAGTATTCCGTGCACCCCCAGATAACCCAATCACGGAACCTCGTTTGCTTACACGGTGAAGAACAAGTCCAACACTAGAGATGTTCTCACTTGTTAGTCCCCAATTCGTCACACATATCTATAAGGCTGGCGAATGGATGATGATCGGTACCGAGGTCTAAGCTAGGGGCAGTTGGGGCGATCCGTTGGTCCAAGTAAGCCCGCTATGGAATCCCAACACCACCAACAACCTCGACAACCTCGACAAGCGTCGGCTCGGAAGTTCGTGCAAGTACAGCTCCTTCAACCGTCCCTAGGCACGCCCCAGCGGATATACACCACCGCGGACGTCCATATGTTTGCCTGCGCCGGCCGCGACATGTAGAGCGCCCGCTGCCTCTGCACCACCCAAGAACGCGCCTCAACCGTCATGGATACGATAGCAGCGACGTCCAAGGGCGCGTCCCTGGCCTCGCCAAAGATCGTCAAAAACTCTAAGGGAGCCATCGTGCCCAGTAGTCAGATGGCACACATCGCGTACGGCTGTGGTTCGTGAGCCCTCCACACCTCCGCGACCCGGCTAGGAAGTTCTCCGCCGCTGACAAGATGCATAGAGCACATGGGTGCAATGTTCGAGATCGCGCGCAACAAGACGGTCAGCGCCTACAACAGGATCCTCCAAACCATACACGAGAAACCGAGCGTCATCGCGCAGACGTACAACACTGGCAGCGAGGTCGTCTCGCTCCGCCCAATGTATCTGTGCCTGCAGTGCCCGAACATCATGACCGAGGCGGAGCGCGATAAGCACGTGGACGAGAAGAGACATGTGTTTGGTGGGTTGCGGCATACTGGGTGGGATTGGGGGACACTGGCTGACAGGGTGTAGCTGCTGAGTCGCGAGAGGGCAATATCTACTGCGGCGACTGCCAGGACTTCATATACGACCCCGATCTGGAGGCGAAGAGGCTGCAGAAAGGTGCGGCTCCACACCATCCGCACAGGACGCGCAGGATACACAGCGCTGACGGAGGGTACAGGCAAGAAGCGGAAGTTCGAAGACACAACCACCACGGACGAGCACAAACTCATCATCAACAATTCCACGTTCCTCCCTTGTCGCGCCATCGGCCTCCGAGGCCTTTACAACATGGGCCAGACTTGCTTCATGAGCGTCATACTGCAGACACTCATGCATAACCCGTTCATTCGCAATTTCTATCTTTCCGAGGGACACAAGGCCCAGGCGGATTGCGAGAGGGAGGCGTGCGTGAGCTGCGCGTTGGACGAGATATTTGTCGAGTTCCATTCGGCAGAAAAAACCGAAGGGTTCGGGGCAGTCAACATGCTGATGAGCAGCTGGCTGGCTGGAGAGGTGGGTACACTACGACAAAGATTGAACAGGAGTCGGAATGCTGACTGAGTGGGCACAGGCTCTCGCAGGCTACCAGCAACAAGATGCACACGAGTACATGCAATTCATGCTCAACACGCTCCACCTCCAAAACGGGGGCTCGCCCGACTCGGAAGACTGCAGCTGCATAATACACCAAACCTTCTCGGGAAAGCTCTCCAGCACCGTGACCTGCGACAACTGCCGCAACACCACCACCGCGCTCGATCCGTACATGGACCTTAGCCTAGACGTGCGCAATCTGCCCAAGAAGCGGAAGCTCGAAGGCAGCAGCGGAAACGACGTACATCTGGATTTGCGGGATTGTCTTGATAGATTCACTGGACGGGAGAAATTGGGCGCAGCGGAGTACACATGTAGGAATTGTGACGGTGGGCAGAATGCGATCAAGCAACTGAGCATCAAGCGACTACCGCCGGTGCTCTCAATACATCTCAAGGCACGATCCTCCTTTACTCATATTGACCCCAGCTAACGCGCAACGCAGCGCTTTGAGCACACAAAGTCCACATCCTCCAAAATCGAAACAAAAGTTTCCTTCCCTTTGATGCTAGACCTGTATCCCTACACCACTGAATTTCGCTCCATGCAACCCAAAGCCTCCAAGACCACCACCACAAATCACAACATCAACTCTCCCGCCCATTCGTTACAATACGAACTCTCCGCCGTCATCGTACACAAAGGCAAACTCGACTCTGGGCATTACGTCAACTACTCAAGGGAGGGAGATGATTGGTTTGCATTCGATGATAGCAAGGTTGTGCTCGTGAGTGAGGCCGAGGTTTTGGCTGCTGAGGCGTATTTATTGTTTTATATGATCAGGAGTTTGGAAGTGTGACGGGGGAATGAACAGGTGTAGAGGTGGAACATCCATCTCACGATGGAAGGAACCACCAGGACGAAGTGCACCAACGCTCAGAAGAATTGAATTCCGCCCTATGGTACGAAATATCAGCAAGGCGGCGAAGACAGTGGTATGCATATTATATCAGTCTTCTGTTGACGTCATGCATTAAAGGGCCCTAAGATTCGTTTCCAAGTCGCGTAAAATCTCTACATGTATACCTGACGCCTTCTTAATCGTACAACGCACCATCGCCAAAAGCCACGCTGGGGTATATCGTGCAATGAATCGGCTTCTAACAGTTCCCATAAGCAAAACAAAAACATCCCAAACTCTGGCAACGGAACACCAAAGCGTTCCTTCCCTCCCATTCTTTCTTACGATGCCGACGGATCAAAACACTGGCAATCCTCTATTGTGCCCCCTGCTCTCCTCCCACTGATCAAACTTGCACACTTCCACGCCACATCCATATCATTACACTGCATCAGCACATTCCAGATCCTTTCGACTGTGTACCCGAAAACTGGTGCGTCCATACTATCTTTTCTGCCTCGCAAATACGGTTCCTGATGCGCCCAGCTCTCAGGGTCGACGAATGCGTCTCTCAGATCCTTGTACACGGCTTTCTTGACACCGCGGATGCGTTTGGCCGAGGCGATGAACTGGCCTTTGTACGAGAGAAGGACTTTCTCGCAGGCGGTAGCGTTGTTGATTTGGGCTTGCAGAGAGGGGAAGAGGTGTGTCGTATCTTCGAACCTGAAGCGGTCGCCGCAGGCGTCACAGTTACAGACTTGCCCTCTCCAGCCTAGGTTCAGCATTCCGGTTCGTGCGGGGTCGAAGTAGTTCTTGATATGCCGGTAAAACTCTCTTGGGTTGTGTACGTCGGCTTGCAAGAACACCGTGTGTCTAGCTAGCGTGTCCCAGTTATGAATAATATGGTGAAGATATGTTTCGCCCTCGCGACCGATGTTGGGAATCATGGTAACGTGGTTGGCGCCCGTGCCCATGCGTATCCAGTCCGTGTCTGCAGTGTTGTCTTTGGCGTAGATGTGCACGCTAGCTTCACGAAGCTTGGGCATGTCCTTTATGGTAGATATCAAGCGGGCCACTTCATCGACGCGCTCTTTATACATGCTGATTACGAGTTCGATATCGGTCGTAGGGGTGTAGCCGAGGTCCAGGATTGGCGGCATCTTGACAACGGTTTGGTGGATGCGTTCGGAAAAATTGAGTGAGAGGTAGCCGGTCCATATCAAGGGGATTATGATAAAGAGGATGATGCTGGAGGTGCGGCGGAAAAGGTTAGGTTGCTGGGTGGGGTAATCGGAGAGATGCATTGATTCGGAGGACTCTGCGAAGTCGATGTCATCGTGCTGGGCGTAGTGGGAGCCGATTCCGTTGGGTACCACGCTGTACACTTTGCGCTGCTCCCGCCTCTTGATCAAGATGAACTTGCCTGCGGTGAAGGCTACAACAAGGAGAAAAAATGAAAATTGTGTCCACGACATGTATGAGCGGCGTAGTACCAGGGTCGACCATATTCCTATCGTCCCGACCATGGTCGCCAAAGCCAGCATCTCGAATATGCTGTTGTCATTTTCAGCGTCTTTGGTATCGTTCGTCACGTCGTCCAAAGGTAATAAAATCGACTGCCCCAAAAGCAAAGCAATCGCCGTAGCTACGCAGTTCACAATTAACAAAGGCACATGTTGTATCCGTATCGAATGGAAAAACAGAACCCATGACTCGTCGTCCCGGGAGTGCGCCCAAAGACCCGTAATAGCCAGCCCGAAAGTACAAAATAATATCCTCATCCGCTGAGAATCGCAGGTGATACTGGTAGACTGATCGACTGTAATGGAACGGTATGCGCGCGCGGCCCCGGCAAGAAGCATGGCCGGGATTGCGGATTGAAGAGCGGGTACCAGAAGTCTATATTCGCCTAGAAGGATGCCAGCGCATCCGAGTGCGGCGATGGTGACACGAGCCATTTCCAGACGCGATCGTGGACTTGGGGCTCGGATCAAATGTACTATGGCTTCGGCGCAGGGAGAGACGACCTGCTTCAGTCAGGAGGCGTTGATCGGTAGCTGCTCGGAGAACTTACAGCCAGCATGATCAGTGTGGGGAGGTTCTGCGAATGCAAGATGGCTTGTATGCTGCACACAGTTGCTGTCGCCATTACTGCTGCTATTACTGCGAAAGGAAGCCATTTTCGCCATGATGTTCTTCTCAACGAGGGTGTGGAATATGACGGGTCTTGCTGGAGGTAATCCGCTGCTGTGATTGCGCCTGTGAC